TAGGCTGAAATTTTCGAAAAAAATACCCTGAGCACACCGCAAAGCACCGAGAGGCTACTTGTGAAAATCAAATCCCCAAAACATAGCCAAAAAAGGATCTCAAAGAAAAAAAAGAAAAGTAAATTCAGAAAAGGCATGGTTGTGCCAAATTTGAATGGGTCACTAAACCGATTGAATGGGCATATTGGAGGTTTTATAATTCAAATATGCGTGGTTTCAAAGAAGAAAAAAACTTTATAGGGAATCGATGCCTCCAAGGGCAACCTGGAGGACAGGAAAAATTTCGTGGTCGGCATGAATCGTGCTGTCTGAAGAGTCTGATACGTAAGAGCTAGAGCTCAAATCTTGCAACCGAATTTATTAGGTTGTCGGAAAAGTTCTTGCGCATTTTCTTCTTCATCTTGCAAAATCTTTTGGGATCGTTTTGAAACATTCACTGTTAAACGCATGTGAGCGGGTTAATGCTCTCTCCACAGCATTTCTGTCGTAGCATTTCGCAGCGTTTGAAGCTTAAAAATCGCCTTTCACTGAAGGTATGTTCGACTGCTCCTGCCTTTATAAGCCCACAAAATGCGTCGATTGAAGCGAAGCAGTGGGAGTTCTACGTGTTGTGATGGACCTCCAACTATCTTTCACAATATGCCAATTATTTGGTTGCCGAGTTCCAGATACTTGAGAAAAAACCACAAATCTGGTCGGCCTGCCATCCCTCATTGACGAGTGTATTCTGAATTCGATTGGAGAGAGTGCTTAGTGCAATGCACGGTAATTGGCGGAGCTCTTTCAGTGCTACCAGACCACAATGGCCGTTCCTCAATATCGCCTCTAAAGAAGTGAAATTATGGCGAAAGGATATTTTGAGATCTGACTGACCACAGGCTATTGAGACCATTAAATTTTGCAAGGACATTTTGATTTGCCGCCCGTCTATCGCTTGATCCGCCAACTTTGTTGGTGGTGTCAAGAAGTGGGATCCTCAGATAAACCGCACGCGAAAGCACGACTGGCTCGGATGCGTAGAACAAAGGATTGCACGCCGATTAGAGAACAGTAACCTGGGAGGCAACATTGAAAGCTCATGAGGCTGCAAATGTTTCGCTCACGGAGAGCTGCTGCCAACGAAGTCCACTGCTATTGGTGAACAATAATGTTAGCAAGTGGATTGGTTTCCCGGCATGGTGCCCGGAAAATCGGAGAAACTTTACTTTATGTCGGCAACGCTCGCCCACGAATTACGAAGAAGGTTCAGGAAAGGTCTCCAAGCTCGTTATAGAATGATCTGACCCACTTAGTGTGTACAGCAAACCTGGTAGAGACGGGCTACCATACGCTTCTGTTGCCGTCGAAGGTACTGAAATAGGGGCAGTTCGATGATCCGGACCTACTCGGAGTCAACCTCTTTGAGCTTTTCGCCCCAAAGACTCGGGATTTCTGAACGGCCGGCAACCTGAAGTTGCCTGCTGAAGAGCAATGTTTCGACGATTATGGTGGTGTATGTATTCAACAATTGTTGGCTGCACTAAAGAAGAAAAACAATTTTGAAAAAAAGTTGCCAAATGCGCAAAGACTTTTCCGACAACCTAATATTTTGGGCATCGAGTGGGAGTACCAGACACCGATCAGGCGCGTAGTCCGCGCTTCCCTTTTCCTCCGCATCGACTCGGACGGTAAAACCATGTCGAGATCGATGAAGGGTCCAGGACTGCGCACCCATGATAGGAATGGAGCTGTGTCACTGGAGATGCCGCGGGACTTGTCTCGCTTCCCCGACTCCAAGGTGCGTAACAAGGGCGTTAAGTCCTTGCGAAGAAAGCTTCGAAAGTTTCCGTTTGTCACCTCCTCCAACACGGTGTTGTCTGCGCCCTCTCATCGGCTGTGCTCCATCGCCTATCCTCTCTCCTCTGTGCACAATCTCTCATTGCCTTATCCTAGAAGGGAGCGATCCCTGAACTTCACCGTTTTCGACCCCAGATTTTTTCCTCATTTCTTTAGCGCCAACATTTCTCACAAGCGCTTTTATATCGCGTTCAAGGAACACGCCTTTTTTTCTGAGGCGTGTCCTTGATGTTGCCATTTAGAAAGAAGCAGTGGTCTCTGGAATGCGACGGCCAAAGTCTAGTCACTTTTTCAGTGTTCATGTGTTTCTCGAGATATTTGATCTGTACTAGTGTTCATTGAAGAATAGCCGGTTATTTGTCTAAGCTCTCATCAATCTAACCAGGGGAGTCCGCCCATCCAACACGCTTTTCATTTGAAGTATTCACATGTGGAGAGAAAAGAAACGGAAGGGTAGCGGCATTGTAGGGTTAGACTCGCGGAGATCTTGGGGATCTTCTGCCTGCTTTGCAACTTGATATTCGACAATACTTCACATTAATTTTTTGCTCCCGGCCTGCTGGAATCTGCCCTAGCTTTTGTCAAGGCTTTCTATCGCCTGCAAGGATGGAATTCAACCATCTGAAATGAGGTCTAGAATAAACCGCTCAAAGACACGACCGACCGCAGCAAACGTGAGACCATGCTGCGCTAGTGCAAGGCACTATAATACAAACTGCTACCTATATAGGAGCATTCCAGTTACAGCCATCATCTACGCGTAGCCATTCGTCAAACTGGAGGCTGGCTTTGAAAACAACGTCCGAAATATGCAAGCCTGTTTGGACGACAGCGTTCCAGCAAAGCCAGTTTTGCACTTGCAAAATTCGCCGAGCTAGATGCCGGTTAGGCATCAAGAACCTTACAACCTTGACCTTTCAAAAATATTCGACATCACATTCAATTACCAAGTCTGTTCTAAGAAAGACGGTTAGGCAAGGGAGTCGATCTAAAAAGTGAGGCCATAAAGACTTGATATCCAATGTTCTGGAAAGCGTATCGCAGACGGAGTCAGTCTGGCGTCAGCATATTGAGCCCCTCCACTCTTCAAGGGGTCTTCCACACGATCCCCCACATCACCCTCCACAAACCATCGTGACACAGTCCTGTTTTAAGCTTTGATTCTGACACCAGCCAGGAATACAGCAATTCGCCATCACTCCCCCCCCCACGTCGCTTCCATCGAGTGCAGGAGGATGAACCAATCTAAAGGTTAAACTGTTCTCATACAATCTACTTCCACTCCCTTTTCTAGTAAGTTTTATTCCGCGCAACCTCGTCAAACACCCCGTCTCGAAAACGATCCGCGTAACATAGACAAACGAAGCCCTTACTTTCATCAACGCCACTCAAGCTGAAATTGTAAAGGTTCCGTCGACGACTTTCGAAGATTTCGCCTGTTCAGTGACGCTCTTCCTTGCCTACATTCACTCACGGCATGCGCGAGCCGTCTGTGCTATCCACGTGTACGTTCACTTTCGACGTTTTTCTACACAGTACGACAAGCCATGATCGAGATTTCCTGGCACCGTCATTTACCGCCGTCCTAAGTGTCGATCCCTCAGAAAAAACCGCAAATACAATCCTGGCTGCTCTGCCAACAAACGGAGCGTTGACCTGTCTGGTAAAATTTTGCAGTCCAGAACTTTTCAAAGCAATGAATGTGGTAAACCATCCCCTATGCCACTGGACCCTGTAAAGCAAGTGGAACTCGTGCGCGTATTCCCACAACCGATGCTGGCGTTAATAAAAGGATAAAGCATTTGCCGTTGATCAATCCCCTTTTGGGATGCGGCACGCATTCTACTTCCATTTGTACATTCGTAGTGGCGTTTGAATGCGATGTGGCCTATACAATGACTTGCGGGGGCCAGCCGATGTACAAGTCAGTGTTTTTATCCTCCCAGACAAGTCTGGTACCAATTAACCGACCCCGGAGGGATGGAAGGCTTGGTTGGCCCGGGCGACTCACGACCCAGAATTTGATCCCTGGACCGCTCGCTGTGACATGAAGCGGTCACTTGCCACTATGCCCACTTCCACCTGGCGTCTACTTTACGGTATGAAGACCTTTTGAAAATTCTAATAACTGAACAATGCGGAATGCTTACCTGGAATGGCCATCGGAACATGCAGCTATAACAACTAGAAAACGGGAAAGGCTTTTTCGGCTACGCCGGAACTTTAAATTTTGGTCTTCGTAATTTGAGAATATGTAAAAAAGTCATCGCCTCTTGGACAATAAATTAGTGTTCGACCGACTAAACGCAGTTTTTTTTGACTGGTGCTGCTAATGCTATACGAAGTTATTACGTGTATATCGGAAATGAACCGAGAAGAAACATGTGGTCATCATATAAAGGAGAAGGCTAGAGAAAGCACCTGGACGGCTTTCACTTTTTTTCTGAGTACTTGACTTTGTTTATAGGTCCTAAATTGCATTGTTTAGATTTCATCGCTGATTTATTGCTTCTTTTCTTCTCATTTGTAACCAGTGAATTACACCCACTTCTACTACGGCACTGTGGGAACACTGGGTGGTGTGGGGTCACATTAACGCCAATCTAAATAGACACCATCGTTCACATTCTCGTTCCCATGCTCCCAGTCGGACTTGGTACTGATCAACCAGTTCCATGGGATCTAGAGTTTGCCTGGCTGCCCTAAACTGCCCGCCCTAAACTATGATGCCAATTCTACCTTGATATGAACCCCATCCAAAAATCATGGATGCGGCTTCCCTTACTCAATGTTCGCAACGGTTTGACCTGGGTTACCCGGGTGACCTGGGTAAATTTCATCTCCAGTGAACAGACGTGTAATCAGTGCATTAGCCGACATGCGGAAATAAAGCCTGGAAAATGGTGAATCCCAGGCGCGTTTTCAGCAGAACCTTTTACCACAAGAAACCGGGAACAGTTGGTGAAAGAAAAGCAGAATTGTCAGAGCCTGGACTTGCCTATAATAGTCATTCTTTACTTTCCATTGTGCCTTGTATGACTGAGGATTCCCAGCTCAATCTACGATATCGGTAAATAAGCTTGGAATTAGCAAGTGATTTCCTACTTCTGGATTACAGTAGCATAAAAATAGCAATACTTGTTGAACTTACAAGAGATTTTCAGATGCAACTCAGCCCCCGTCGTCATGAATTGCTTTCTGTGTACATGCTGGGATTTGGTACCCTGTTCCTGTACCTCGGTTACCACACACAGTCGTTCATCAGCGAATCGATAATCCATTCTGTTCACTTGAGAGATCCGCATAGAATTTCTGGATATGCCGGATACTACGGGTAAGATCGTTTTTAATTTCAATAGCGAGAAGTTGTTAACGGCCCTTCACTTAAGAATGTCTTGCACGACACGTCGCGGAATGTAGTAGCGCAGTTGAAAGGTATGCAGATGCTAGAGAAGTACTCGCTCGATAAGTATTCAGAGTGTTCCTCTTTTACCTCAGGGGCGATGTTTTTAGCCAAGTGCAGGCGATCCTGGTTCCTGTTGCAATGAAGCCCTCTACTCTCGTTTCGTCTAGTTTCTAACCCCTAGAACCTATGCTCCTCACAGTGGCCCACTACAAGCCTAGAAACCATCTTCTTATGGAATTTTTATGAAAGTATGACATCCGAGTGGCTTTTTGCCAACAGAAAGTTAAAAAGTGAGTCCTTCTCCAGGAAAAATCGTGATTCTATCTCACCCATTAAGTCACCGTACTAGTCTTGACCTATAGATTCCTTACGATGAAACGAAAGAGAGCAGAAACAAAGTAGTATTCGTTTAGATAAAAAAAAAAAGATCTGAAACTGAAAAAGGCCTCTAACTCCATAATATGCCGCCATCTTTCATAAGTCTGGACGGGAATACTTCCATTTGGTTTTCGAGATCAGAGTGTTCTCACTAGATAACAATCTTCCGCCTTTTATTTATTGGCAGATACCCTCTCTCACTTCACTGCATCGACTTAATCATTCGAGTCAATTTGGTTTTAACTCTCGCAAAATCGCACACATTTAAACATCGCAGATTCCTTCACTTGCGTTTGCCTGATTCAATTAAACCGGTGCCACGCTCAAAGAAAAGCTTTGCTTTCCAATTGCCCACGCATTTGGCGCGCGGCACACTTTACCGTCAATTTTGCGCCATAGGTCTTGAGAGTTTTTCGTGAGAGTGTTTCTATCGTCTGTCACGTTGCGATAAAGAATTTCGAGTGCAGTGCGATTCGGGGTACTGAATGTTCTATAAAAGTTGAAGAGAATCCAAACGAAGTGATGCGAAGGATCCGCATAATTTCCGTGTTGGGATAAAGAATGCAAGTGTTTTCCTTCCGAGAAGATTTCCTTTAAGTTCAATATTCAAGACCTACAGCAGACATGCGTAAGAAGTAGCACGTATAGTATTTGAGACTTTTCACTATCACTTGCTCGTCGTATACTTTTCTTAGTTCATTTGGTAATGTATCGCTAACCCGACGAAACCGTAATGATGGCTGGAAAAAAGGTCTAAATACTTAATTTTTGTGGACTCTCTCAAAATTAAATTTCTTGAATGACTTACCGTAATCTTTTCCAGACAAGCAATTCACTACAGTGCATTCGCGATATCGAGTCTTTTCACCGCATCACTTCAACATTACCTGGCATCGAAATGGATGCTTGTCTTGGCCACGGTATTCTTCGCGGTTTACCATCTGGGATTCTTCTACATCAACTCGTATTATTTCTACGCTTCCCAAATATGATGGGAATAGCGGCTTCCTGTAAGTGAAAATCTCCTTATTATTTTGCGAAACAAAAAAGCTAAAACTGTAGACTGAGAGAGTTTTCTGGAAAACGACGATGAAAAAGTTATGGAAAATTTTCTGCGATTTCAAAAATTTAGTGTACAACAATGGTGAAGGGGCATATTTGGCGGAGCACTCTTCAAGGCGAACGGTTGAGTCAAACTCTGGGATTGAAACTGCTGTCGGACATACGAGGTTTGTTAAGAAGATCATCTGTTTGAGAAATTCTTCTCCAGGAAATTTACAAATCTCTTAGCTTTTCCCAGGGTCTGAATTACCGTAACATTTGATGTGTTCCAGCATGCTAATCGGCGGTATTGCATTATTGCTGGTCTTCAACATCATTCCAGCTGAAATTTCGGAAACAGAGACACATTACCGGTCATTCTCCGAAGATCATATTCAGGTACTATTCCAGGTTTCTTTTTACTAAAGCATGAGTGAGTTAAATGGAGCCGAGAAATAGGATGGTCACATCGGATCGTGGCCAAGAACGATCAGCGACTTTTTACTCATGAGGAATTTGTAAGGGTACCGGGAAGAAAAGTCACCGGCTCGTAGGAGTGCATCAGCACGTCGTCAAGTCGCAAAAATCGAAAGGTTGAAGGCGGAGTTTACGATGAAAAGGCAGCCCATTAGGAATCAGGGTAGAGATGGGCAGGGATTAAGAAACAACCATGAGAAATGGCTCAGAACCCGAAAATGAGACCACCTTCTCTTGCCCGTTGATTTCCGCACTGATGCAACTCTTC